AGAGTCTTGCCATGTTGCCTAGTCTTGAACTCCTAGGTTCAAGTGATCCCCTGGCCTCAACTTCCCAAAGTGCTCGGATTATAGGTATCAGCCACCATGACTGGCCTCTTCTTATTTTAAAAATATAAGATTGCTCAGAAGAGTCTGACAAGTTACATAGTTTATGTCAGTTCTGAAAAGATCTCTAACAGAGAAGAATTGTTACTATGAATCCAATACTGCCTCACAAATGTAATTCCCCCAACCCACAAAAGTCCATTAATGTTTTCTTTTTTCTTCTTCTTTTTTTTTAATGTTTTCTTATTATTAAAAGAAACAGGCTATCAGTTGGGACTTGGAAGGCTATTTTATATTGAGATTTTTGTTGGCATTAAAGTCAATTTAACAGCATTTTAAGTCCATACTATTAGGAGAAAGCTAAGAAAACTGGACTGTTGTTTTGTTGTTGTTTTTAAATAGAGATGAGGTCTCACTGTGCTGCCCAGGCTGGTCTCAAACTCCTGAGTTCAAGTGATCCTCCCACCTCAGCTTCCCAAAGTGCTAGGATTACAGGCCTGAGCCGCTGTGCCTGGTCACAGTTTCTTTAGATAACAAGTGATCAGTCTTATAAGCTACATTTCTGTAAAAACAAAACAGGTGGTCATAAGCAAATAATAAGAATTCCGGATCGTGTCTCTCCATCTACCTCTATGAAGCAATTTCTAAAAAGTGTGTGATACTTAGGCATGTGGTAAATAGAATTCTACTCCTAGAGAAGTAGTAATGTTGCTTCTTGCTTCAATTACACACTTTCTGAGGAACTACTTACCCTACACAAGCTTTAACACATACAAAACAAAACGGTAATGAACATGCAAGCAATGTAGTTATAGGACTGAGTAATAATTACTGGCTAGGCAGTCTCTCATGTGAAAAGACTGAACCTTTAATCTACCGACATTCTGAAAGAACCTGAAACCTGGCACACAGTAAGACATTCTTTTTTTCTTTGTTTTGAGCTAGAGTCTTGTTTTGTTGCCCCGGCTGGAGTACAGTTGAGTTTTCTCGGCTTACTGCAGCCTCTGCCTCTCAGGTTTAAGTGACTCCCCTGCCTCAGCCTCCCAAGTGGCTGGGATTACAAGCACCTGCCACCATGCCCAGCTAATTTTTGTAATTTTAGTAGAGACAGGGTTTCACCATGTTGGCCATGCTGGTCTCGAACTCCTGGCCTCAAATGATCCACCCACCTCAACCTCCCAAAGGGCCGGGATTATAGGCGTGAGCTACAGGCCCCAGCCTAGATATTCTTGATTTTAATTTGTGACCAATTACTAGTTTATAAACAGATGTAGGTTGAGTATGGTGTGTTAAACTATGTGAACCAAACATATGCTTAAAAATAACATAGTACTTAAAAAAAAAAAAGGATAACCATTAAGCATCCATCTACCTAAGTTGGCAGTATTTCTTTTCACAAATTCAGTAATGCTATATTCCTAGAATATAAAATTCAGGAAAGGGTAATTATATAATCCTTTTTCCAAAACAGAATAAAAACACTATGATACCATGTTTTGGAAAATAGTAGTCTTGGGGTATGGTAGTCTATGTATATTTATTTTTTATTCAACTTTCCTTCACAATTAGTCCCAGCACTTGGGAGGCCAAGGCAGGTGGCTCACAAGGTCAGGAGATTGAGACCCTCCTGACCAACATGGTGAAACCCCACCTCTACTAAAAGTACAAAAATTAGCTGGGCATGGTGGTGCATGCCTGTAATCCCAGCTCTTCAGGAGGCTGAGGCAGAAGAATCTCTTAAACCAGGGAGTTGGAGGTTGCAATGAGCTGAGATCATGCCACTGCACTCCAGCCTGGGCAACAGAGGCAGATTCCGTCTCAAAAAAAAAAAAAAAAAAAAAAGAAAGATGTGGATTTGTCATAATTATCTGAAGTACTGTTTTAACTTGAGATGTTGAATCAACCTGAAGTATCTAACACTTCTATTAAGGACTATTATAAGAAGGCATTTGTTTCTCTTGATGGTGTTAAGATAGCCTCTTACTCTGCTGCTCAGGTTGGATGCAGTGGTGCGCTCACTGTAGTCTCAACCTCCTGAGCTCAAACAATCCTCCCTCCCCAGCCTCCTGAGTAGCTGGGACTACAGGCATGTGCCACCACACCTGGCTAATTTTTAGAAATGGGGTCTTGCTCTGTTGCCCAGACTGGTCTCAAACTCCTGGGCTCAAGCAATCCTTCTCCCTCAGCCTCCCATTGTTGGGATTACAGGCATGAGCCACCTTACCCAGCTTTTTTTAAGCAACCCAGTCTATGATATCAAAAAAGTTATATGACTCAATTATCAGTGTGCTTAATTTGATCAGCATCTTTTTTTTTTTTTTTTGAGACAGAGTTTCGCTCATGTTACCCAGGCT